CCAGGCTGTGGGTCAGATCTGAGACGCCCTTGAGCTTAAGAGCTCTGCTTCCCTCCCCCAACTCCGCCTGCAAACACCTCCACCCACTTCAACAAGACGCAGATTTCTCAAAGCCCTCTGCGGCCACAGGTGTGCCAGGCAGCAGGCTTCACATGGGCACCGGAGTCCCGAGCAGGGCACTGGTCTCTACAGAGTGCCCTGGCAGTGGCCCCAGCGGCCTGCACCGCCGAGCCGAAAGCAGCGCCACGCGCCGGGGTCTGCGCCCTCCTGCCTCACCGGCCGGGCCCCACCCTGACTCAGTGCCTCTCCGAGAGCCACCGTGATCCCGAGAAGTCACCGGAGCACGTATCTGCGACAAGGAATCGATCGCAGCCAGGCAGCCTAATCAACAACCAGACTGCATTCCGCGGGGCTGACGGCGGACAGCCCGCCATCAGTCTTCCTGCCGTCCCCGAGTCACCGCCACCGCATCAGTCAGCCTCGCGGGACGCAGACAGCCCCTCACCCCACTGTCCACGGAAGGGCTTGAAGCCGCCAGGAGCTGAGACCGTGTCAACACCAGTGCAGGTTTCTGGGCCCCGCACCTCTTTACACTCATTTCTTTGTTTTTTGTTTTCAATGAATGGTAATACTCTTTTTTTTTTTTTCTTTTTAAATATATTTACGTATTTGGCTGCGCTGGGTCTTAGTTGCGGCAGGCGGGATCTTCGCTGCCCCATGTGGGATCTTTACTTGTGGCATGTGGAATCTAGTTTCCCGACCAGGGATCGAACCCAGGCCCCCTGCACTGGGAGCGAGGAGTCTTAGCCGCTGGACCGCCAGGGAAGTCCCCACGCGCATTTCTCAAACACAAGCTTAGACAAGCCCCGGTATTTAATAATGCTGAAGGTGGGGTTTTCCTATCAATGGTATAAGCAGATTCACAAAGCTCTGAAGCTCAGGGCTGCGTCTTTTATCAACCACAGCAAATGTGTTGGACTCTTCAGCCCTGCTGCATGGTTCTGAGAAACCCCGTCAGTGCCTAGGATCGGGAAGGTCTGAGCTGACTGTCCCGGCAAGCCGCTCTGCAGCCTCTGGTCTCCAGCCCCCAGGCAGGAGACAGGCAGCATCCCAGGGTCTCGCTCTCAGAGGTGCAGGCTGAGTAGTGACAGCGAGGGGCCACTGCAGTGACGGGAGACAGCTGGAGGCCAAAGAAAATAAATGGGACCTGGTGGCCTGGGAGCAGGTGGGAATCCCTGAGGTTTGTTTCCCTGTTGAGTGCTTCCTTGTCCAAAATCCCCTCTCGTTTTCACAGTATCTAAGCTACACAGGTACATGTTGAACAGAGCCAATCCCGTTAGGCTTTACACCAGCAAGACCTCTCGGGGGGGTGAACACCAAGGCCGTCAGGTGGAGCTGCCCACACCCCAAGGATGATATTCCACATGGAACCCCCGGCTCAGGGACACTGACAAGCCCGCCCGTGTAACCCGCCACCTGCGGCCATGGGCAGTGGCAGATGGAGCTGAGCTGTGAGCACAAGAGGCCCCATCCGCCGTCCTGGTCTTTTTTTTTTTTTTTTAATTTAATTTTTGGCCACATTGGGTCTTCGTTGCTGCACGCGAGCTTCTCTAGTTGCGGCAAGCAGGGGCTACTCTTTGTTGCAGTGTGTGGGCTTCTCACTGCAGTGGCTTCTCTTGTTGTGGAGCACGGGCTTTAGGCGCATGGCGTTCAGTAGTTGCAGCGCACGGGCTCAGTAGTTGTGGCTCACAGGCTCTAGAGCACAGGCTCAGTAGTTGTGGCGCATTGGCTTAGTTGCTCCACAGTATGTGGGATCTTCCTGGATCAGGGCTCGAACCTGTGGTCCCCTGCATTGGCAGGCGGATTCTTAACCACCGCGCCATCGGGGAAGTCCCCACCCTGGTCTTTATACACGTCTACAAACCCAAAGTGTGCAGAGAACTCTGTCCCTTTAAGGGAACCTTGTGGTGGGTTTTTCAGTGGAATGTTGTTATGTTTATCTGCTTGTGCTCTGATTCCTGAGGAGCTGATACAGTAAAGTTTTCATTAAACAAATAACCACTCCCCTAAGTGACTTTCAGGGACGCTCCCCCCAGAGGCCTGTTCACAAGTCCAGACGATCACAATGACAAAAGCCAAGGGGGAGCCTGTGGAGAGGGTTCAAGGAGCCAGCGCTCCCTCATGGCCCATGGGGCCCGTAAGTGATAACCGTCCATTCATCTACAACAGCTCTGAGCCACCTGCTCTAGGCCCTGGGGACAGGCCCTAAAGAGAAGGAAAACCATGCCCTCAGAAGTGACATTTTAGGGGGAGAGAATGAGGACCCACAGCAGAGTCTACGTGGCTTCGAGGTGGTAAGTGCTACACTGAACAGTAGCGCAGATCAGGCCAGGACGGGGGCCAAGATGCACAGAGACTGAGCCTGCAGGCCCAGGGTGGTGGAGGTAGGTGGGGAGGAGAAGGTGGCGGTGGAAGAGGCCAGCAGGGGCCGGGGCTCCCCTCCTGGACGAGGCAGCCACACTTTCTGCTCTTTCTTTACCTTCCTGGGTCTGTGCTTTGGGGAAGGAAAGGCCTGCTCAGTCTGCAGGCCAGCAGCCTGCCTGCACCCCTGCCTCGCCCACCAGGCACTCACATGGATCAGGAACGAGGAAATCAGGAAGCTGGGACTGTAGCCGGCTGGTCAGCCACTGCCGCTCAGCCTGTCTGGGTCCCTGATCTAAGCTCAGGGTGGGGCACCCCTCTGTCCTCCTGTCTTTGTGGTGCCCTGCAGGGAGGCCCTCCGAGTGAATGAAGCATTGGGGGGAGGGCAACTTGCATTCTGTGGAGACCCCAGGGCGCTCCTGCACTCCTGCTGCACAAGCCCAGACAGTCACAAAACCTCCCTGGGACTAGGGGACGAGCTGGCTGTCCCCACTTCCCCTTAGCAGTCACTCCCGATAGCCTCAGGGCCCCCCTTTCTCCCCCTCCGCGCTGCCCAGTCAGTTCAGTCAGAGCCCCCTCAGGAAGCCATGTGTGCCGGGCCGGACCGACCCCTTTGGAGAGTCACTGGGACTTGTGTTAAGAGGCAGACAGCCCTCTGTAGACCCCGCTGTCTAAATCCTGAGGCCCTGCAGCTGAAAAACAAACAGCAGGATGGGGGCGGAGGAGGGGGCTGGCTGGCTGGGCAGGGTCTGAACGGGCTGCCCTGGCCCTTGGACTGCCACTTCTACTGTTCGGCTCGCCGGTCTGTCCACAGCGCTCACGCCGGATTTTAAGCTACGTTCTCTAAACCCAACAGCATCACCTGTCAGCACACAGGGTCCCCAGCTTCCCTGATGCTGGTCTGCACGCAGCACCCTTGCAAACAGGAGGAGAAAGGGTCCCTGCTTCTCCCTGCTTTGCGTTGCTGGGATTGGGCTCAGTGCCCACCCTGCGCCAGGCTCATCGCTCCTCTGTTAGAGGATGAGACGGAAGGTCAGGGAGGTGCGGGGCTCGCCCGGGACCAGCCTGTCTGTAGTACCTCATCCTCTCACTCTGACCTGGCACCAGCACCGATGTGAATTAAGGCTCCAGGCGTGATGTGAGGACGGGCCGGAGACGATCTATCTAGAGCTGCCTCTTTCTGGTGGAGACAGAGGAGGCCGACTTCAGTGAATGATGGATTCCGCAGACCAGGGACCCCAGGCCTCAGGGACCCCTCGTGAGGAAATTCACCCTGGAATAAAGTGACTAAACAACAAGCTCTGCGCTGCGGGCCGAGCCTGGGCACCTCTCCAGAGACCTCACTCGGCAGCCCTGCTGCGCAGACGTCTCCAAGCCACTCCTTTCCTGGGGCTGCAGACCTGCAGGACAGCAGCCAGCACAGGAGCCCCGCCCCCACAGGAGCCCTGCCCCACCTGGAGCCCATCCCAACCGGAGCCCCGCCCCCCACAGGAGCCCGCCCCCACCTGGAGCCCCGCCC